TAAGTCGACGCAACACGACGACGAGTACACCTGTAAATTTCTGCTCACACCGATACACATATGGCCGGGATACGATGTGCAGGACAACACAGTCCGACGATCAATACACGTTCCCCGTACGGCTCAATACGCGATCTATGCCGATCTATGTATCGATACACGTGCACGGGCACGTGTTCGTACAAACAGGTTTCACGTATGATTAATATATGCGCCGGCAGATACAAATAGAAGCCTTTACGAGGTGTCGTGTGCAAGTTCGAGCTTGTTCGTATGGACGCGGCTCACGCAGCAGCCGGCCAGCAAAATCGAATCCGCAAAAATTAAAGGATTATCCGGGATTACGCGCGGCGACAGCGTCGTAACCACCGGGCCGCGATCGTCGGCCTGCAGTTTAATTTCAACACGTCCAAATACGCCTGCAACCTCCCCCAACCTCCCCCGCCCACGCACCGAGGAAAACCGATTTGTATCCTTTATTTCCTGCAGCACCGGCGAACGTTAGATCGATTACCGGGACGCGAAAGGGGGAGTCCATACCACGGTCCAGCCAACCCTTGAGCTTTTCACTGGTAATTACGTTTAATAACTTTAGCGGTTGCTGAATTTATGGCGTACCCTGTGCCACCCTCGCGATCCGTCCCGGAGAAAGTGAAAAGATAGAGAAAGCACGGGAAACAGCGCTACTAATTCGACCGGAATGGCGTCTTAATGAAGCTATTCGTGGCGACATTAATTCGTTCGATCATATTTCAGTGAACGGTCTGTGAGTTTCCCGAGGTCCTGTCCCCCTAATTTGTCCAAGTTTATTAACGATTTTCGATTCATCGAGGAAAACGAAACTCTTCGTCTCTCTCGAGTTTAGAATTATTTATTGGGCATTTTTAATTTTAATACATCAGTTAATAGAGCTTGCATTTCAAACTGTTAATAAATAAACCTACATATTTGAACCTAATAAATGAGATATTTTGTCGCCGAATTATCCTCCCTCGCAACAACATTTCTCCTGATAGCTTAGATGAGAGAACGGTTTAATAGTTTGAGAATCGTTCTTTTCATCGAAGATACACACCAACACGCCGGTAAATAAGAAACTTCATTATGGAAGACAACAATTACTGTAAATAATTTCGTTCCTCGCATTAAACGCTCCGAAAGGATTATTCAAAGACGTTGAAAAAAAGCTTTCTTTGGCTCGAAGGGTTTATATCGTTCCCTGGCCGGACAAAGTGGAACTGCTTATTATGTTAGAGAATATAATAAGCTCCATACAAATCTTGTTTCTGACGAAGCGAGTCCTGAAAGGCCTCGGCATTATTTCAGCACGTTCTTTTTCTCGACTCAAGATTCGCTGGACTTGCATCTTTAAATCGCAACGAAGTTCGTGCCGTACTCGGCAAGCCATTAAATTCTGTATTAACTGCAGAGTTTGATTATCTTTTCTTGCGAAATTTACAAAGCGACTCACATTTCCTTCATCGTTTACGTTACAGAATTTTATGACATCTTAACGCAAAACAAAGAATCGTTCCGACTCTCTACATGTAAATAATTCTTTTTTATTTCTGCAAATTCTTAAAACGTTCAAAAGTATTATAAGATTCGAGTATCGAGAAAAGGACCCAATCGTAGGAGTTGAAAAAGTTTTACACGTTGCTTGTACAGACTAATGTATTAAAAATATTTTTTTCCGAGAGACGCCAATCGTTTGTAGCATTTGGAGCAATAATTACAGGATCAATTTTAAAATTGCACAGTACATTCGCGCGGAAATGCAAAACGCCGGGAAAGTGGACGGGGATAAATTAACCCGAAGTTTAAAACCATATCAGAGAGCGAGCGATTTCACGCCTCGAAAGTTCGCGGAATATTCAAGTTACGCGATAACTTTATTACATAATTTATTCTTGAAGAATCGTTTCCTAAAAAAAAGTACACAGAGAATTACGGAACGCGCGAACGAGAACTCCGGACTGTATTTTCGACGAAGTTTCATCAATTTATCGATACGCAAATCGTTACGAACTTTTAATATGCTGCAGTAATCGTACCGTTACTATTTGCAGAATCGAAAGAACTCGATATAGTAACTTGCTTCAGCGGAATTCATTAAGCAAGTGCAAATACAGAGATCGAAAAAACGTTTGTTTACATTCGCCGCTATAACTGGCCACTAACAGTCGTCGACTTTATAAACATTAAATAGATTTCAATAGAGTAACAAAAACAATGTTTACCTTCAAATCGACTTCAAAGCTCGATCGGTTTAATTACAACGTTCAGCCCCATCAATAATCAATACCTCACAATTCACTGCTCAAAACCCCGTTGAAAGCTCAAGAGGGGAAACAACACAGTCGGCGCTAAAACTTTTAATACCTGGGCAATGCAAATATTTACTTGAAACAGATTAAAATATAAACGAAACATTGTACAAGAGAATCCTCGATAATCCTGACGAGGAATTTAATCAGTGATCTTTATGGATGGGCAAGAAAACGTCGTTGCAACTTTTTAAGTGTATTTTTCTTTGAGACTTCGCGAGTAACTTTAATAATATTAGGACGTCCTGGCAAATTTATTAAGCCACAAATACGTAAAGAAATAATTTTAATCGTACTGAGATACGAGTGATCGTGAGGTCTGTAATAACGAATCGTCGAAAACAGGAAGCTGCGTAAGTCGTCGACCGTCGTTATTACGAAGTAGTCACTTCAAACGCGTTAGTTTTCGCATGTTCCGCGAAATATCTGTCGTTATTTGCGTAAGGGGGTGAGTCTGTAGGGATAGTGGGAGAGACCGGAGTTCCGTAGTGCGAACGATCGGGACAAGGGTGAAGAGGAGGGCGTCAGAGTTTAAAGGAAAGCTTGACTGCCGAACGACTAATAAGATTACCTTCCGCCTAATCATTCTCGCTCCCGTGAGCGCCATCCACTACTTACGACTATCTCTCTTACCCTCTCTTCCCTGCCTCGTTCGCCCCTGTTTGTATTCGCAACGAATAATTTTCCGAGGCGACACCTAATTATCAGGAAATTCTGCGGTAAACGTGTCTACGGGGGGCTTTCGCGTAAACGCGCATTTTCGAGACAGACAGCTTTATAAGTGGCGGGGTAAATAGATGGATTAACTGCGGGGATGCACCGCGAGGGAGTCTTGTACACTCAGCCGGATCGAGCTTTTCGTTATGATTTTCAAACGCAAGGAAACCGGTCCTGCTCGTATTTCTTGCTGGATTATTTGTGTCACGGGTGAAGAAAATTGACTGCTTCGCGTCCGGAAATAAATTTCGAGTGAAACTGGTCCCCGCGTTTAGCCGGGGAACGTTAATTCTTATTCCCGAATCGTTCCCCTTGTAATCCTTTGAAAATTGTTGCTTGTGGATTTATGGTACCGTCCTCGACACGACGGTAACGTACGTGTACGTATAAATGACATTTTGAAGCAAATTATTCTCTACAATTATATCCATACTTATTTTTTTTATTTATTGATAATCATATTCGAAAGTAAATTAAAAGAAGATATTTTCCATTGAATAAAAGAACCAGTCGCGTAACGGGTTGATTTTGCATTCAATTTTTTTGCCAATTTTACGCAAAGATCGTCCACGTTCGATAAACAATGCAGCAGATTAATGAGATAATAACTTATTACGCTTGGAAATACACGCGCAAGGAAGCTCAGTTTTCGTAGTCTTGGAGGAAAAATCTACGATGCCAATTTTTGAAAAGTAAACGCGTGTACTCGGAAGGAAGCTCGTATCCACGGGAAGGCACACGAGCGGAAACCCATTTTTCATTATTCTGCGTATATTGAGTGACACGTGACCGAGATATCTTGGTGTTTACACGGATGTTCCCGTCCGCATGATGAAACTCGGTGGAAAATTCGTTGGCCCGAGGCAAAAGAATAATCGCGAGGATATCCGTGGACGGGGCAAAACTCGCGTCAGGGCAATTCCCATTTCTCCGCGAGACGGAAGAAAACATGTACCAAAATGGAATTAGAACGGAGAAAACGAATTTCGAGGATTCAGCCTGCACCGTTGCGGACAGGCAAACACAAACAGTTCGCGTACCAAAGAACTTCCGCAGAGTTTCTTTACTAAAGCATTGAAATACCATTTGGAACTCCAAAGCGAAAATTAACATACGTTCGCAAACATTTGCATGATATGGAGAAACTATTAAAGTTCCTTGCCTAGATTTTTATTTATTCGAGGCCTTTTATGTTAAACACAAATCGACTACGATTCTAATAAAGTTACTACGATAATTTTCCTTTGGTTAAAAATATATTGTATAAAATTTAATAGCTTTAAGTTATATACAAAAGAGAGTCTACGTTAAATATAAAACTTGAGAGTCCACGAATGTGTTAGTAGGGGTATACGAGCTTTCAAATTAAAACTAAAATAACATTATATAACAGAATATAACAGAATGCTTCCTGAAGTACTTTATGTTTGTTAAAAATACTCGTTAAAAAGTTTCATAACGTCAGTAGTGAAAACATGAAAAATGAATCTAAAAACTAAAAGCTTCAAAGTCTTCAACAGCAGAGATCCGTTGTACAAAACATTTCTCATTCTCGTTTTATTAAGAGTAATAAAAGACAATTGATTCTAAATCGAAACTATCGTAATAGAAAATTTTATCAATGGAAAAGGCCAAAGACTAAATTTACTAGTTTCCTCTCCCATACTATCGTTGGAGGTAGAGTTAACACAAATTTCACTTCCCAGTACAAACCACGACTGGTTCGTCGCTGACACAGAAAGAAGCAGCTCTAATCGACGACACTGTCGCGTAATTGCTCAGTTAACCTAACGCAATTCCGATTCGATCGATTAATTTCGTCGAAAGTATGATAGAACTTTCCAGTTTTTCTGCGTCTGATTTCTATTCGCGTTACGATGGAAGAGAAACCAGCGATGTCGTGATCAATACCGGCAAGGTGAGGCGATCTCGCGATCGATACGTTTGGACGCTTACCTTGTAGATCTCATCTACGAGCCTAGTGAGTTCTTCGGTTTCCATGGTATACCCCTTCGGTGTCTGAAAGCTGCACTTTAACCGACTTTACGAGATGCTCATATTTTTCCGTCCTTCCGAAACCGGATCTCACGTAGTCGCTCCACTTTCGCGAAGTCGACCGTCTCAGAACGGAAGCCAATACACGTTTCCTTCTGATTCGCTTCTGTGTTTCGACCGAACCTGAAATTAAAGAGGAACGTTAGCTTAATCATTCACGAGGATCATGCGCCATCTTGATCGATTAAACCGGTCCCAGTGCGCTGAAACGTTCTATCAAACGGCAATTGTGTCTAATTTATTCATGTTCGGATCGCTTCTGACGTCAGTGCCGATAATTCACTATTAATTTCGATGTTAACAGCAAAACACGCTCCATTAAAAGGGATCCCATCAATGTACATACAACAATACAAGGATACGAATGACAAAATAGTAGTAGCCAAGAATTTTCTTATCAAAAAAATTGGATGAGTTGGACACTCAAAACTGCATCTAAATTCCAAGTCAAAGTACTATAATCTCTGTTAATTAATTTTATAGTACCTTTAAAATTAAGACGTATCGCGAGAAACTGTGTAAACATAACAATTGCCTTCTCGTATATTCCACAGACATCTGGTGATTCCTAACTCCTGCATAGCACACGTCATTGAGTATTCTTGATTGTGACGTATGCCAATTGAGGTAGGATCGAGACAATCCTTGGGTAGAATTCATGATGACTAAAGTATAGCTGAATTGTTTAGAAATGGCCTTGAATATTTAGTGTCGAGTTCCACGACCTCAATTTTTAAAAATTTATCCTTCCACAATTTCACTTCTTTCAAACAATATTAATATTTCATAAATGAACTCTCTCTCGCTCATTGTTGCACCGGACCATTCAATTTCGACGACTTTATGCAACTCGCAAATTATACAAATCTTGAAAAAAGTCCGTGAAATGGAAACGGCCGGTTCTCCGTACATAAATTGCGATTCACGAGGAGCCCGCTGTATTCAAATTAATATAAAGAGGCTTAACAAAAGTCGAAGCAGTTGCCAACGGTGCTAATTCATCAAGCTGATACAGCGCTAAGTGAATTTAACTGCTATTCGTCGGTGTACGTAAAGGGCAATAATATTGTACGAATTATCTCTGCAGCGACGCCAGACTGGCCGTCATAATTCACGTGTAACCGCCGCATTTAGAATAACAATTTACAAAATCCTACGAGACGAATTCTACGATGTTTTTATGTTAATTCTATCGCATTAACATTCTCATCGCACAATGTGAAGGACTCGCAGCATCTCGTACTGCGTGCTTAATGAAAACGAGTGGCAAGAACGTAGCCATTGCAAATTTCGTTCGCCATTCGCGGAGAACTCCGTTCGAATTCGAATCGCGCGACTCATTTGTGTCAACTTCCTTTTTCGTTCCTCGATCGTTCATCGGTGACATCGATTCCAGCGTAAACCGTGTCTCGCGGCGGTATCGAGTGTATTGTTGTTTAGGAGAAAATTATTCGCCTCTTCTGCTACAATCAATACGAATTGCGTTATCGAACCGACGATTAGTATATCGGGGACGCGCATGACGTCTGACACGTATAATTATCTCACACTTTCTCGTAATTGCATTAGCATTTCAGTATGGGATCGCTACTTCGGTTGAACCTGAATGTTTACCGTTTCGAATTTTACTTGAACAAAATATAATTTTTTTAAAACGTGCGATCAAAAATTCAAACTTTTAAAATAAACTTTTATCTAAATAGGACTTGGTGAATCTCTGCTTGAACGTTCTCGTGCGGCTCGTTTTCATAACGATGCAAACAAATTTCACTCCCGGAAGTACCGTGGCGTTAGCGATTCATCGCGCGGAAAGTATTAGTAGACTCTGACAGTATGAAAAAGTTCAAGTGCACGGGACGGTCGCGATTGAACCGTATCCGGTTGGGGAAAAAATCTCAAAACTTTTCCATTCGAGAAAGCTGAGAGTGTTTCTTCGAGGCAGCCTCGATCCGACAACGTGCACCGGAGACTACGGGGCTCGCGGCTAGCATTACTCATAGGTGGAAGGAGAGGTCACGTTTTCCAGGGTACTTTCATTCCGCAAGGACACCCGGTATGTGTTCGCCGTAAACGCGCAGAGGGAGAGCAGGGCGGAAAAAGCGGCATAACTTTGCCGTTTTATTTCTCGACGCGGATGTGTGCTAAGCGTGTGTCCACATAGGCACGCTTAAGGTGTCACGGATCGACGATCGAGAGTCACTCGCTCGGTTTTCAACTTGATTCGAGAGCAGTTCCAGATCGAGAAATCGTGAAAGCATGGCCGCCGTCGCGCGCTTCGGCCAACGACGAAGAAGATTTAATGGTCTCTTTCTGGTTTTTGCCCGCCTCTCTCGTCCTAGACCGGCTCATTGTCGCGTGACTTCTCGCACGAGCGATGACGAAGAAAAGATCACCCGCGGAAGATAGGAAACATTTCTCGATTAATATTCCCGCGCGAGACCGAGCAATACGATCGCGGAAACGCAGCGTCGATCGCGCGATAAATACGTGCCCGCGGATATTTCAATTAACGCCGGGCCCCGCTGTAATTATTGCGATTCTCCTTCCGCGGACGGTTCCCTCACTCTCGTTTATTTCAATCCGTCGGTTAGCGAAAAAATTAAAATCGGAATCGAGACGTTCCGTGCTCCAATTCCTCACGGTACGCTTGCGACTCGCGTTATCAGTAAAATGGAGCCGGTTGAAAGTTTAGTTGCAACGACATGGAAAAATTTCAGAGACCACACAATGGACCCTGCGTTATTTCACTCGTGAAAGATTTCTATCCGAGAGAAAATTGGTTCTCGATATATTTAAAAATAAACATTGGTACTTAAAATTTTAAGAATCAGATATGGAGGACAATATATTAAAGTTTAAGTAAAATAAATACGAGATAAGATAAGTGTAAGAGACTAATAGCAAGATAAAAGATTAATAATCGCACGTAGGTGTATGATATTGGGCAGATAAGTTTAATGAGGTGACCTACTAGAAATAACTACTCAGAAATAAGTATATGGCTCTTAAATGAAGAATTCTCGATACTATATACCCATGCAAGGCCATTTTTAGTGCATTTAAAAATATTTAAAATATACAGCTCGACAAAAGCTCAATAAAAATAACAAGCTTGCGAAGACTGCATAGAATTTTTATAATTGGTAAATGAACACACTTCGAATTGTATCACTGGCGTTGTATTTACTTTGGATGATTTGATCATTTGCGGAAAACGAAGTCGAATGGATTCAATTATGTTCGGAATACGATAAAAGCACGAAAACTCAATCGTTCTATCGAATATATTTCAATTGCACGACTCCCCCGTTGCAAAGTGAATTTTGCAGTAACTTTCCAAACGTGGCGATACCCTCTAAAAGCTTTCAGGTGAATTAAATTCTCTCGAAACGTTTGCGATAAAATGTTTCCCTTTAATCTCTCTAATCACATGTGCTAGGCTTGTTCCACGTATGATACAAACTTTGGGAATTTCATTCGATACGCGCGCGACGGCTCGATGTTTTCCTCGTACCGAACTTGAAATATTTCGTTTGGCAAGAATGAAGTATATATCTTTCCGTTCAAACGAAAAGTACTTCTATCGAGGGAAAAATTCAACGTCGCCGGCCATCACCGAAACGTATCCCGTTTAATAAATAAAATAGATCCCACAGAGACTTTATGCAATTCTTCGAACGAAACAAACACAATTACAAAAATAATTTATACAGTTAACGTTTAAAAATGATTTCAATTCGTTGCGAGATCTAGAAACCGAGCTGCCTTTCGGCGGCTTTGCGATTCTACGGGCCATAAATTTCCCGAAATACGGTTGCACGAATTTAACCGCGCCCTGCCCGCAGAATGGAAATTGAATGTATAAACGGAGAGGAAATGGAATCTAAAAAATTGACCAACTCCTAGAGAAGGAAAAGAAGCTTGCTTATCGAAGCGAAACAAAGTCACGCGCGAAAAGAAGACGAACGAGAAAAATATATATTCTAAGAAAAATGCAGAATCCTCGTTCTCTCAAGAATTTTAGCAGCGTAGGGTTTTCCGCCGGCTTTATCGCCGGCCATTTTCTCAGATACACGAACATATATAGAAATCATAAGTCTATAATATTTGTTCTTTTATATAGTTTATAGAATGACTATCAATCCTGAATAAAAATTAATATTTAACGAAATCGAAGGATAATGTACTACAGAAACCTGAGGAGTACAATTCTATCTACTTTAAAGTCAATGGAGAAGGCAAGTTTATTTCCATTCAAAAAGTTGCAAATATATAAACCTTATGTATGATTAATACTATTGAAGACGCTAACAAATGATACGCCATGGAGTCCCGCCAGGCCTTGCACGAGAGTGTATCGTACGAGTGTTGTTTTCTTTACTTTCATCATTATGAAATGCATCATTGTTACGTCACCTGTGCTGCGAGCGAATATATTTATTAGAGCGGTCGATAACCTGTATCTTCTCAAATCAACACACTCTGCTCTCACTTTTCTAGACGCGTTCCCCACCTTTCTCCGTCAGGGATAAATTTCTCTTCTCGACGTTTCATAATGTTAAATAACCAATATCTTTCTCTTTGCGTGCCAAGCCGCGCATAGGCGAGCGCAAGAATGCAGTCGCGAGAGGAAAGTGCACTCGAACAGAATAACCCGTGACGCGATTGTATCTGCTCGATCGAACAAAACAACCGCTAAGGAGAAATAATAAATGCAAAAACGGACAACTTTATGGAAATTAATGACTCAAGCGTCGCACTATCCTTTGCCGACTCAGCCTTGTCATTTTTCTAGACATTCTAACAAATTAGCCGTGTAGGAAATGCATTCTTTTATGCCATATCAATCGTCGTGTACTATTCAGCGTTGCCTCGGCGTTACAATCGCTGTTTTTACGGAACAAATAATCGCTTGGAATTTAATGGGAAAAAAGTGTTCGGTGCTTCGAGCGTTTAAAGAATTTACACAACGCGGGACGATATTGGCAATATTTTTTTCACGAACCAGGAAACAATCTACGTTTGGTTCGAAACTCAAAATTCAACGGGTAAATGAACGTATGCGCGTGCCTATTTTATGACCTACGCGTTAAACTTTCACGCAACGATCGTAAAAATAGTCT